TATGACACTTATCAGTAATTTCAAACACATCTTTTGGCCAAATTTGAGGACTGTATACTTTTTTATATGCCCCAATTACTCGATACAATTTTTTAATAAAAAAATTTTTAATTCAAAAACTACAAATCTTATCGGCATGAGGACATACAGCAACCATCTCATGAGTAATAGACAGCTTTTGACCAAATTTGGGGCTTGTAGCATCTAAGCCCTGGGAGGAGAAGCGATTGCTTTTTTTTGGTCAGAAGCCGGAATAATAATAAGAATAATAATAATAAGAATAAGTTTAAGTAGCATTACAGTATGTTGGCTTTCTCAAGCCAACATAATAAGTTTAAGTAGCATTACAGTATGTTGGCTTTCTCAAGCCAACATAATAAGAATAAGTTTAAGTAGCATTACAGTATGTTGGCTTTCTCAAGCCAACATAATAACAGTCCAAAAACCAGTTCACCTAAATTTATATGTTGTAGAAAAATATTAAATACAAATTTTAAAAGAGGAAAAATCAAGAGAAGCAAAAAAACAAACAAAAAAATTTGGAAAAAATTTTGTTGAAACTTTGTAGGTTGTATTTTTTAACACTATTTCGCATGAGTTTAAATGTATTATCTTTCAATTTCTAAATATGGTGACTAAAATGTTATTTTAATAAATATATCTGTTTAATAAATCTGTTTTGTTTAAATGCACCAAAATGCATTGCCTAAATTCAAATGCCTATATTGAAATGGATAAAGATATTCATTTTCAAAATGGGATGTATTCAATTATGCTGAGCACTGTACAACTGCAACCAACTCAAACCTGACTGCCTCTTCTAGAAGTCTTATAATAGACTTGTGGTTGGATGTTCCACCAGGACAAGGACTCAAAACAAACTTCAAAAGCAACACAAAAAATGGGTCACTGAGCATAAAATAAAGATTCAGCAATGGCCATCCCAGTGTGCTGAACTGAACCCGATAGCGAATGGATGTGGTAAACTGAACAGAGGGCAACTATGTGAACCTGGGAATGTGAAGGATCTGAGGAGACTGTGTATGAAACAATGGTCTCATCTCATGTTCACAACCTCATTTGGCATTATGAAGAAGACTATTATCGAAGCAAATGGAGGACGCAAAAAGTATTGAACAAAATGGTGCCACTAACAGAGGTCAATGTATTTTGGGAAACCAAAATCTTTCTCTGCTTATTTACCATGGGTGCCAACAGTTCTGACCAGGACTGTATATAAATGTTTTCAAAGTGTCATTTAAGGGTGGAGGGCTTGATTCTGCTGAACGCTGGCACTGTGTTTGTTCTTTCCTGCAATCTCCACATCTCCTCATCCTGTAGCTCAGTCTGTAATCTGTGTGTGTGAGTGATTTGGTGGGTATTCAAGTCACAAGCAGCGACCGCCAAACAGCACGTAGCACTAAACCCACTGGGTTTTCAGCTCAATCATGACCATCCTCTGTCTAAACAAGCACTCCCATCAAAACATTCAGCAGACTGACTTCTTGATTTCAACTTTGATTTCTTTGAATCAAAAACAGCCTTCTTTTATGCACACAAACATTTCATCATTTATTTTAATTGCCATTTTGGAATCACTAAAGCATTAATGTTAGACTTTTAAATGCTCAGACGCCTCCAACCAGCCTAAATAAGTTACTATTTTCTCCTTTAATATAAAGAAGAATACAAATGAGTGACTAAAACTTACAAAAATACTATGAAACAATAATATAAAAATCAGACATGATGTTAAGTGCATTTAAAATCCTACAAATATGCTTAATATAATTCTATAATATTGTAACTAATTATAATAATGCAAAAAAATGCTATAAAAGTACACGGAGTATGTGTAAAAAGGACACCTTAAAATAAAGTTTGCTATAAATATTTTAACTAACCCTTGTTATGCACTGTAAAATGTGATTAGTTACTGAAAGCGAGTACACCAGTTGCCTTAAAAGCAACAAGTTGACTTCACAAAGGCTATGTAAATCCATTTTAATTTGGAACTGTTAAGCTGGCTTCATTTTTATAATTATGCTAATTAAGTCAACTATTCCCTGTTTACAGTGTCAGACTATTTTAGCACGTCTGTTTTCATATAATTACTGTAATTATTACAATATTACATATTTGGTGCTTCATTAAGTTTAGAAAATCTACAATTATAGCCTGAATTGAGTTTAGAAGACACACTGGAGTCTGGAAAGCAGATGTATTGGTCACTTTATTTTGATGGTCCATTTGTTGAATTTAAGGTAAATTTCATCTAAATGCCAACAAATTCTCATTAGATTATAAGCAGACTGTTATGGGTTAGGGTTAGGGTTAGTGTAAGTTGACATGTACTTGCAAAGTTTACTATAGTCATTTAAATGTCAAAGGAATCATCTAAATAAAGTTTTACAGATATTTTTTACTGTATGCCATTTTGCTAGATACACAATTGCTGGGGAAAAAACAATAAATGTGTATTGGAAAAAAGTGATTAGTTCACTTTTATTTTAAAAAAGTGATTACAATTTGCATAATTATAAAATTTAAGTTAACTAAACAGTTCCAAGTTACAATGGGTTTACTTACATTTTTGTAAAGTCAACTTGTTGCTTTTAAGGCAACTGGTTTACTCGCTTTAAGTAATTAATCACTTTTACAGTGTTGTTCCTTTATAAAAGTATGCCTTTTAAGGTAGTCTAAATGTAATAGTAGTAAACTTTTAAATTTACAGCTACATCGAAAAAAAAATTTCATTGGATTTAAAAAAAATTAAGGTAAGTGGTTGCAAACAATTTATGTGGGCTACATTTAAACAAACAAATTAAATTTATTAAGATTCAACTTACTTTGTTTCTATAAATTCAGAGTATATAAATTGTTTGCAACCACTTGCCTTAAAAAGGTTTAGAAAATCTAACAAATCATTTTTTCTGTGAACTCCCAAATAGTATCAAACTACTTGAAATGCACCTACAAGTATTCTACTAGAACATTAATATTAGAATATTACTCCATAAACTATGCTTGAACTTCACTTAAACAATAAAAATGAAGTTAAAGTCTTCTTAATTTTAGTAAGGCAAGCCAAAGAAAAAGGTTTTAAATCAACTAAAAGCACAATTGTAAAAATAATTTTAAATTATAAAACAAACAAATTCTGTTGCTAATAATGCTTCACACACTGAAAAGGTCATACTTAATAGGCCTGTAATGTTTGAGTACATCTCGAAACTTTTCTCTGCCTTTCCCCACGTCTTTCCTTGGCTTAATGTGTCTCAGGGGTCATGATTTGGAACAAGTGATTGCTGTGATTGTTTCTATGTGTGTGTGACTACAGACTAGACAGGAAGGCCTGAGGGTGGCAGGGTAGCAGGAATGACTGCAGCATGGCACTGAGGCACGTACATGGGATATTTTAAATTTAGACTCGAAGAAGAAGAGATACTTTCTGGTTTAAGGAGGTTTTGAGGAGGCACTCCCTGCCGTTATCATGCTTTCAGTGTCGACTGAGTCTCTGAACCAGACATGTTTGTGGTTATATTTATTTTGTGATTTGATCTCAACATACCACTCTACATACTGACTCATGACTCATGTCTTGTTTTCTTTTTCGGTTTTATTTCAGTATTTGTGAAATACTTTCACAGTTTTATTATTACGTTTAAGTTTTTTTTTTGTCATTTATTTGTGGCTTTCTTTGTGCATATGTCTTTTATTTTAGGGTTTATGTTTTCCTTGTCGGTATTTTGGTGCGTTAAATGAACTAAATGAAACTGCTTCATTGACAAAGCAGGGTATAATATGAATAAAGGTAGATTTTCACAGTGTATGAGGATTTTCTTTAGGCACTGTATATATAGGTCACACGGTGGCTCAGTAGCTTAGCTTTATAAAACATATGCTGAATAAGTTGGCGGTTCATTCCACTGGGGCGACCCTTGATGAGTAGGACTAAGGGACTAAGCTGAAGCAAAATGATAAGATGATGATATACAGATGAAGTCAGAATTATTGGCCCCAGTTTTATTTTCCCCCAATTTCTGTTTAACAGAGAGATTTTTTCAACACATTTCTAAACATATTAGTTTTAATAACTCATCTCTAGTCACTGATTTATTTTATCTTTACCATGATGACAGTAAATAATATTTGACTAGATATTTTTCAGGACACTTCTATACAGCTTAAAGTGACATTTAAAGGCTTAACTGGGGTAATTAGGTTAACTAGGCAGGTTAGGGTAATTAGGCAAGTTATTGTATAACGATGGTTTGTTCTGAAGACAGTCAGAAAAAATTGCTTAAAGGGGCTAATAATTTTGTCCTCAAAATGGTGTTTAAAAAATTAAAACTGCTTTTATTTTAGCCAAAATAAAACAAATAAGACTTTCTCCAGATGAAAAAATATTATCAGACATATTGTGAAAATTTATATTCTGAAACAAATACAAGGAGTTTATTTCTTCATTATTAATGTTATGTTTCAGGAGTATTTCCAAAAGGCACAAATATTAAAAGTCAAGCTAATCCTCATTTTACTGACAACCTCAACAATTGTTTTCATTCATATATTTTCTTTTCGGCTTAGTCCCTTTATTAATCAGGGGTTGCCACAGCAGAATGAACCGCCAACTTTTCCAGCATATGTTTTGCACAGCAAATGCCCTTCCAGCTGCAACCTAACACTGGGAAAACACTGAAAATAAACATTCCATTAGGGAAAACCTGGATATAAGATTTATAGACCTGAAAAATTCATTAAAAATTATAACATTTTGAAATGCTAAAATGATCATTTATCTTATATATTTTATACGCTATTTTATGCATGTTTGTATGTATGTATGCAGGTATTTATGTATGTACTTCCTTCTATGAGTAAATCATGTACAAAAAAAAGTAGTCATCACAACATTATGTAAACATTTTGCTGGGAATTCAATCAATTAAGAAATGGTCAAAGTTGTATTAAAGAGTGGTTTTTACACAGAGGCCTACCGTTTCAGCTGCGGCCCCCAGCATCTGCAATATGTTGTCCACTCTTTCTCTCAGCTTCATCAGTCTGTAATACAGCTGAAAGTATAGGCACAACAACAGGCTACGGATGCGCATCCACATTGGAGGCTCTTCTTCATCATCATCTTCATCGTCGTCATTATGAAGGTGTTCATCTTCATAACTCTGTACCATTCTCTCATACTCGTAACCTAAAGATGAGACAGTATAAAGTGCCTGTGATTTCAATGTATTATTCAGAAACTAACTGAAGTGGCTCCAATTTGTTTAAATAGCTGATCTGAGGAATGTATTTAGTTATATTTTATTATTTTTATGACTATATCCCTCTGAAAGTGAGAGAAAAAACATGTCAAATAACTTTCAATGCAGAAATTTGTGTAACCTTTTAAGTGCCACATGCCTTATCATAAAATATTTAATAATAGGCCTAAAATGATGTCATTATATATTATACATACTCATGACAGTACTCTGTTTATTAATTTGTTTACATCGTTTTCAACAAATTTGTATTATTCATTTTAATTCAATCTGTGTTTTTACTTTTTTAATTTAATTTAAATTATTTTTTATTTATTGTACAATTAGTTGTAAATTTCATCTGTGTATCAATTTAATTAAACATTTATTTGAATATTGATATTCGTTTATTTTACCCTTTAATTTTATTAATAAATGATATATAACATTTTTGACAATTTTAAAATGCTTTTTCTTCTAATAACCCTCCTGTGATTCTCTGTGAGCTCGGTTATGGGTGAGTTTGTAAGTTGACATACTTGCAAAAGTATCAAAAATATGCTACTAATGAAGTAAATTGTTTATTTTTAACAAAAAATGTATGCTATCAAAATATAGTGTTGAATAATACGTATACAGTCTACTTCTATGCTAATGACTGCTAAATGACTTGCAATGCTGCTAATTCTGGCAGAAAATAACCCTAAAGGCCACCAAACTAAGCTCAAACAGACAGAACATTTGCGCCATCTTGTGGTTACATCCCGCATACGCATAATACTATTGTGCTAACTTTTTTTCAAAGTAATTTCCAATAAACCTCGTGTCTCGCTGTCAGTTCAGTGTGTGTACGTTCTTACGCAAGGTGGGTGGCAGGGGCAGATAATACGCCACCGCCTCTTCTGACTGCGTGATGAGCTCATCCAGACCCGCTGTGATTGCTCGTCCCGGGCCCGATCCCTGAGCTTCCGCCAGGAGGCGCCACATCTGGTCTATCAGCCTGTCCCATCTGTCCACGGCTCTGTCCAGCTCATCATTCAGTCGAGACTGAGCATCGTCCAGCCGAGAAAAGAAAGCGTCCTTTAGATTAGCGACCACCTGAGGGGAGGGCAGTCAAGCAGAGGTAAGGGGTAAACTCTCCAATAAGCAAACAAACCGACAACCACGACAAAACTGCCTCCAAATCATACATAAAGACCATATGTTAGTGCAAATATCGAAAATTATGTCTACTTAAGTCTGTTTCTTTCTATAGATTATGATATTTAATAAGAGCTGTAGTAGTAATCAAAGATGTTGTTACCGAAAAGCGCGCGAAAAGTCCTCTTAACACTGACGAAACAGAAACAAGTTGACTCAATGACGTTATGAATCCATAATGTAATGAGACCATGTCTGGGCACTACAAGTCCCAGCAGGCTTAGCGCCATGCAAGGAAGTGTTGTTGTTTATGTGCGGACACTTTATTTCCTGATTGCGGCGTAAATTAACAACAGGTTGTAGATTGCTCAGCGCTATATAAGTGAGTCAAAGTTTGTTTGCCATTTTGCTGTCGTTGTTGCATTCTGGTCGCGGCACGTAAAGGCCGGTAGGTAGTAAGTTTATTTGTGTGATGTGCGGTCTCTCTCTCTCTCGCGGAGTTTCCTTTTTTTTAACGCATGCATAAACTGACATTTATAGAGTCAACACTTCACGTGAGGGGTAGCTGATGAACAAACAACATTTAATGCTGCCAGATCTTCATTGCGAACTTATTTAAAGAGGTAGTTGTTTTATAATTTTAATAAACCGTTTTTAGTATTGTGTTTTAATGATATTATCCTTTTTATTTCTAGTGCTATTACGGGATCATTGTTTGCTGATTGTTGCCTGAGTGTCAGCATGAGAAATTAAGGATCTTAGAGGTATTGTTTAAAACAAAGAAGGGTTTTTATCTCTTAATGCATGTTTTATTTATAGGATGTTTTATTGTGTTTGATTTCTTTATATTCTGAGTTTCTGTGTTGTAATAAACTGTGTTTCCCCTTTTTAGGGATGCACGGTTGCCGTTTACTTTAGACTTACAATAATATTTTTGTTATTGAATCTTTGTGGTTGACTTTTGTTGTATGCGAATTTGGGTTGTTTATTATGTTGCTAGGTTGAAAACAATTTGTATTTTCCTTTGTTAAACTTTTCTTTCTTTTGTAGGTTCTGTTTTGGATTTGCTTTACCATCAGTGGCCACTGGGTTCCCTGCACTGTGTGGATGGCGGTGGAGAAAAGGTGGTTGGGATTGTGTGGTGATTTGGTCACTGTTGATTTTTTGTGTTTTTTAGGTTGCAGTGTGATTGCTGTGAGCTGAGTGTGGTGAAAACACTGCTGCTTGGGTACCTCATCTGTCCTCACTTTCTGGGTAACCGGTGGCCATTAGTGGTTTGTTTTTTCTTTTCTTTTATTTAGTTTATTTACTTTTTTTTCCTCCTTATTTGCAATAAAGATGGAGACAATTTGTATATTACAACTTGTGGAATAAAATATAATTGTCCTCCTAATTGTAAGTCACTTCATTTACCCTCTGCTAAATCATTAACACGGACAAAAGTCATCTGGTCACAATTGGCGTAGTCGGCAGGGTATTTAAAATTGATTTAATTTAGCAGAGGCTGTTGTGAAGTGTCTTACTCTATCGATTGTGCAACTTTAAATGTTTTTGCATAAGTTCAGTGTAAGTAAACGGTGACCGTGCATAAAGGATTTCGCAGACTCTGCTTTGTGGACCCTGGATGTCATTGTGCTGATTGAACTGTCTTCCAGAATTCACCAACAGATATGGAGCAAGAACTAATGGACTTGAGGGAGCGGGTTCAAAGCTTACAAGCACAGAATGAGGAGTTGATGAGACTGCGTCCCCCATCTAGCAGTGATGCCCCTAGCCAACCTCACCCTTCTGTTTCTAATGACTCATCTTCAGTGTCTTTTAACAGAATGCTTTATGTGCCCCGAGAGAGGAAGTGCCCACGTTTTTATGGGAACATGGACTCTAACTTGAGTATTGAGGACTGGATTGACGAGGCTAAGGTGTGTATTGAGGGTAGAGGTTGGGCTGATAAAGAAAAGGTGGTCTTTCTGTTGGATCATCTTGGGGGAGAAGCTAGAATGGAGGTAAAACTTCATCCACCTGTTACTAGACAAACTCCAGAGTCTGTTTTTGAAGTTTTAAAAGATTTGTATGGGGGAAAACAGACATTTGTACAATTACAGCAGAGGTTTTATGAGCGAAAACAGAAAGAAGGTGAATCATTGACTGAATTTTCTCATGCTTTAATGTCATTGATGGACTTGATTCTTAATAGTAATCCAGGTAGTGTTCCCAATTCCGATAGAGTGCTTCGCGATCAGTTTGTTGAATATGTCCAAGATGTAACGCTAAAACGTGAGTTGAAACGACTTGTGAGGGAGAAGCCTTCTCTTACGTTGCTCGAGGTTCGACGTGAGGCTCTTAGATGGGTAGAAGAGGGGAGCAGGGAAGCAACTCTTTCATATTCCCAGCCATGGTGTAATGCCACTCAAACCAGGGTAGTTGACCAGGAACCTAAGGTTAGATTCCAGGAATCAACAGAGTTAAAAGAAATGAAAGAAATGTTGAGACAGCAACAAGCACAATTAAATGATCTTACCCAGCGTCTTGATAGACTTATGCCTACAAAGAATGATCCCCCTGCTGCTGCTTTACCAAGGCAAAATACATTGCGGCGATGCCTACGTTGTAACAAAATGGGGCACATTGCCAGATTTTGTCGTTCACCTTGGCCTACAGAGTCAAACTCCGGATCACCTCAGGCAAATGTAAATGAGATTTCAGTTGGGGAATCCGATACTGTAGCCCCTACTGCAATTTTAAGTCAGATTGTTGAAGGGACAAGGGAAGCTTCAAAGTCACCCGTTTGCCCTACTATTTTACAGCGACTCGTGGGCAAATGCCCTGTTGTAAATGCACAGATTGGGATGGGAGTAGATATTTCTTGTTTGTTGGATACAGGATCCATGGTAACCACGATAACGGAGTCATTTTTTGAGAAACATTTCCATCAATTAGGGGTGAATGGTCTTAAGAAATGTAACTGGCTTCAATTAAAAGCAGCTAATGGCCTTGAGATCCCCTATGTGGGTTATTTTGAAACCGACGTGAAAGTGTTGGGACAAACCCTTCGAGGACAGGGCATTTTGGTTGTGAAAGATCCAGTTGATGTTTTTTTCATCAAAAGAAAGAATTTACTCCTGGCCTCTTGGGCATGAACATTATAGGACAATGTTATAATGATTTGTTTGAAAAACATGGCCCAGCACTATTTTCAGTTCCACAGGTTAGGCAGGCAGAACAAGGTTGGAGAGACGCCCTATCCCAGTGTCACAGGGTGGAGGATGCCCCTGTTCCTGGCTTTGTTGGGTATGCCAGAGTGCAGTCCTGCCAACCTGTTCAGATTCCAGCTGGAACTATGAGGTTAGTGCCTGCTTTGTGCCCAAAGAATATACACAGTGGGACAGTAGTGGTTTTAGAACCCCAAAACCCAGAGAACGGGGGGTTACCTGCTGGAGTGCTAATCTCATCTGCTATGCTGCAGTGTGTACAAGGTATAGTTCATGTACCTATAGTTAATGTCGGCACAGAACCTTTATATTTGCCCCCCAAAATTAGATTGGGTAGTTTGCTTAATGTTGAAATCATAAGTTCATCTCAGGACATTTTCTTTCAGGGTGATAGGTCACAGGACCCTAATGTAGTGGTTGTTCAGTGTCATGCTGTTACATCGGAGTCAAGCATTGATATGCAAGGCGTAGAACTGTCTGGGCTTTCAGAGATTGAGGAGGAGGAAGTTAAGAGATTGTTAATGAAATATTCAGACGTCTTTTCAAAACATGATGGCGATTTGGGATGTACAAATTTAATAGACCATCAAATCCCCTTAGTAGATGATACACCAGTACGCCAACGCTATCGTAGAATTCCCCCCAGTCAGTTTGAAGATGTGAAGGCTCACATTAGACAGTTGTTGGACAGCCACATTATTAGGGAGAGCAGTAGCCCATATGCCTCCCCAATTGTATTGGTGAAAAAGAAAGATGGTTCTTTGAGGATGTGTATTGACTACCGCCAGCTGAATGCCAGAACCCGTAAGGATGCCTACCCTTTGCCAAGGATAGAAGAGTCGCTGGATGCATTGACTGGAGCAAAGTGGTTTTCAACTTTGGATCTGGCAAGTGGATATAATCAGGTACCGGTAGCGGAATCTGATCGATTCAAGACTGCTTTTTGTACCCCATTTGGGCTGTTTGAATTTAACAGGATGCCATTTGGACTGTGCAATGCCCCAAGCACTTTTCAAAGATTAATGGAGAGAATTTTTGGGGATCAGAGTTTTCAGTCGCTGCTGCTCTACTTGGATGATGTGATTGTTTTCTCAACAACTATTAAGCAACATATTCAACGACTGGGGTTGGTGCTGGATAGGCTGAGACAACAAAACCTTAAGATAAAACTCAGTAAATGTTGCTTTTTCCGGTCAGAAGTACGTTATTTGGGGCATGTGGTCTCTTCCACTGGGGTTAGCACAGATCCAGAGAAGATATCGGCCGTAGCTAAGTGGAATCAGCCACAAAGTCTTCAAGAACTCAGATCTTTCCTTGGCTTTGCTAGCTACTATCGACGGTTTGTAAAGGACTTTTCAAAAATGGCTGGACCCTTGAATGCATTGGTAGCGGAGCTGATTAGGGGGCAAAAGAGTAAACGACCTAAGATTAACCTGGGGTCCAATTGGACTGATTCTTGTGAACATGCTTTCCAAGCCCTTAAAATGGCTCTGACTAACGCTCCTGTTCTGGCTTATGCTGATTTCAGTAAGCCCTTTATTCTAGACATTGATGCAAGTCACCAAGGTCTGGGCGCTGTGTTGTCTCAAGAACAGGGAGGTAAACATCGACCAGTGGCTTTTGCAAGCCGTGGATTGCGACCACCTGAACGTAACATGCAAAATTACAGCTCTATGAAATTGGAGTTTTTGGCCCTGAAATGGGCTGTTACAGAAAAGTTCAGGGAGTACTTGTTGGGCCAGAAGTGCTTTGTGTATACTGATAATAATCCACTTAGCCACTTGCAGACTGCAAAGTTGGGAGCATTGGAACAGCGTTGGGCTAATCAACTGGCAGATTTCGATCTGGAAATAAAATACAAGCCTGGACGTTCAAATGTTAATGCTGATGCTCTTTCTAGAAAAACTCCATCTGTGGTTGAACTTGCTTTAACGACTCCAGTGCCAAAGGAGTTACATCAGTATGGTCCCAACAGTTGTCACACAGTTGCCAGTGAAACCATGTCTGTCTTTCCAGAACAGCCTAGGGAAGATCTTGGTGCGTTACAGGAAGCGGATCCTGCGATTGGGCGTTTTCTTGTTTATTGGAATCGCCAAAAGACCCCTGATGCACAAGAGAGAGCAATGGAGTCATCAGAGGTGCTGGAACTCGTGCGGCAGTGGGGGAAGCTGGTAAAGATGGAGGGAGTGTTGTACCGAAAGTTTCATCCTCAAGAGGAACATCGAGAAATCCGCCAGGTTGTATTACCATCTGTACTCAGGGAAAGAGTCTTGGCCAGTCTACATGATGATCATGGGCATCAAGGCATTGAACGGACCGCAAGTTTAGTGAGAACTCGTTGTTATTGGCCAGGTATGTTTAAGTTTATTGAGGAATGGTGCAAGAGATGTCAGCGTTGCACTCTGGCTAAAGTGGTACGACCAAGAGTGCGAAGTTTCATGGGGCACCTGATGGCGGAGAGACCATTGGACATCCTGGCTATTGACTTCACATTACTGGAACCTGCATCAAATGGGCTTGAAAATGTACTAGTTATGACTGATGTGTTTTCAAAGTTCTCACAAGCTATCCCAACTAAAGATCAAACTGCAGTAACAGTGGCACGTGTTTTAGTGGAGCGTTGGTTCTACTTGTTTGGAGTACCACGACAAATCCATTCCGACCAAGGAAGGTGCTTTGAAAGCAAGTTGATCTACGAGTTATGCAAACTATATGGCATTTCAAAGACTCGCACCACACCTTACCGACCACAAGGAAATGGGCAATGCGAAAGGTTTAATAGAACCATGCATGATTTGCTTCGTACATTGCCACCAAAGGAAAAGTGTCGCTGGCCAGACCATCTTGCTCAGGTAGTCTTTGCGTACAATACCACAGAGCATCAATCTACTGGGTACTCTCCTCATGTCCTTATGTTTGGGCAGGAGCCACACTTGCCAGTCGATTTTCTGTTGGGATTGGATGATGGTTTCCAGAGTGACGTAGACTGGATGGTGTACCATAAGGACAACTTGGAAAGAATATTCAACAATGCCCGAGCTCGTCTTCAGTGTGCCACAGAACATCGTGCTCGAACAAATGACCAGCTTGTGCGTCATGAGAAGCTAAAAGAAGGCCAGCTTGTGTATCGAAGAGCTCACAACATAAAAGGCAGGAACAAGATTCAAGATGCTTGGGATTCAACCCCTTACAAAGTAGTGCGGTGCCTTGATGAACTTGGAGCTGTGTATGCTATTGTTCCTGTAGAAGGTGGCAATATTAGAAACCTCCATCGTTTTGAACTGCGTCCAGCCTATACCCCCCCAAATGATTTTGGCCTTTTAGATCAGGCAGACTATCAAGAAAACTTCACTGATGAAGAGGGAGATATTGTAATGATGTCCCTGAGGCCTGGGGGTGTGTTATCCCAAGAAAAAGTTATTCCGCAACCTAGAACACAAATAATAGAAGATATTAGTCCATCTTTACCTGTAGTGGTTGATGTGGAGGACCAGTCTGCTCCACGGCCGGAAGGAGCGGTTGTAAGGCGTACGAGAAGAGCAAGAGCTGGACAGCATTCAAACCCATACCATCTTCCTCGGCCTGTACATGTCAGTGAAGCTGAGTTGCATAGCCATGTTGCTCTTCCAGTAACGGGGCTATCCAGCAATGTCCTAAATGGTTTGTTTCGCCCATGGTTGTAGTGGTTTAAGTTAATCGACGAGACGTCGATTTAAATTTTGGGGGGTAGATTGTAATGAGACCATGTCTGGGCACTACAAGTCCCAGCAGGCTTAGCGCCATGCAAGGAAGTGTTGTTGTTTATGTGCGGACACTTTATTTCCTGATTGCGGCGTAAATTAACAACAGGTTGTAGATTGCTCAGCGCTATATAAGTGAGTCAAAGTTTGTTTGCCATTTTGCTGTCGTTGTTGCATTCTGGTCGCGGCACGTAAAGGCCGGTAGGTAGTAAGTTTATTTGTGTGATGTGCGGTCTCTCTCTCTCTCTCGCGGAGTTTCCTTTTTTTTAACGCATGCATAAACTGACATTTATAGAGTCAACACTTCACGTGAGGGGTAGCTGATGAACAAACAACATTTAATGCTGCCAGATCTTCATTGCGAACTTATTTAAAGAGGTAGTTGTTTTATAATTTTAATAAACCGTTTTTAGTATTGTGTTTTAATGATATTATCCTTTTTATTTCTAGTGCTATTACGGGATCATTGTTTGCTGATTGTTGCCTGAGTGTCAGCATGAGAAATTAAGGATCTTAGAGGTATTGTTTAAAACAAAGAAGGGTTTTTATCTCTTAATGCATGTTTTATTTATAGGATGTTTTATTGTGTTTGATTTCTTTATATTCTGAGTTTCTGTGTTGTAATAAACTGTGTTTCCCCTTTTTAGGGATGCACGGTTGCCGTTTACTTTAGACTTACAATAATATTTTTGTTATTGAATCTTTGTGGTTGACTTTTGTTGTATGCGAATTTGGGTTGTTTATTATGTTGCTAGGTTGAAAACAATTTGTATTTTCCTTTGTTAAACTTTTCTTTCTTTTGTAGGTTCTGTTTTGGATTTGCTTTACCATCAGTGGCCACTGGGTTCCCTGCACTGTGTGGATGGCGGTGGAGAAAAGGTGGTTGGGATTGTGTGGTGATTTGGTCACTGTTGATTTTTTGTGTTTTTTAGGTTGCAGTGTGATTGCTGTGAGCTGAGTGTGGTGAAAACACTGCTGCTTGGGTACCTCATCTGTCCTCACTTTCTGGGTAACCGGTGGCCATTAGTGGTTTGTTTTTTCTTTTCTTTTATTTAGTTTATTTACTTTTTTTTCCTCCTTATTTGCAATAAAGATGGAGACAATTTGTATATTACAACTTGTGGAATAAAATATAATTGTCCTCCTAATTGTAAGTCACTTCATTTACCCTCTGCTAAATCATTAACACGGACAAAAGTCATCTGGTCACAATAAGATTGACTTGAATGTTTAAAATATACAATAAAAATGCAGGCTCTACTATGTTTAAAAATCATGTAAACACTTGTCTTTAAAACTTGGTAACTAGCGTCAAAATGCTTTAAATGGCCAGATGACATCTGAACTTTGTAATCATTTGCATTTTCTGAAAGCTAATAATCTACTAATAATTATAACCAATAATCATTGTTAAACAATAGCTGCTCAGATTTAGTATCACCAAAAAATAAATGTGCAGATGTTGAATTAAGTATTATAGTTGTTACAGATTCCAGAACTGTATTCTCAAAATGTAAGCTACTGAGGGAGATTTTAAAAATCGGATATTTCCTTTAAATTAGGTTAACATTTGATTAATTTTGTACATTTAAGTAATCCCAAGGTCATGTTAAAATATACATTTTATTTCAAATAAATTTACATCTACCTTATTGTAAAAAAAATATTATGAATAATATTTAACTTACAGAAAATCTAAGATATTTACCCTATAATAAAGCCAAACTAAATAAGCTGTATTTTTTGTCTCCTTTGTGTGATAAATGCAAAGGCGCAGTAGGGACCTATGGTCATATATTCTGGTCCTACAAATTTTGGAAAAGTATCTTCGGACTTTACTCCCAGGTTTTTGAAATGGACATTAAAATTGATGTGGAAATAGCACTATTTGGATGATCAGACCAGGCTCAAACTTGGCCGAAACATCAACAACTCTCCCTTATGTTTGGCATGGTGCTGGCCAAGAAAGTGATTCTGAGGGAGTGAAAATCCACGACACCTCCAAATTTTTTTAAATGGTTCGCCAAATGGTTTCTGCCCTCAATCTGGAAAGGTTAGTTTTCTCTAGATTTGGCGAATAGAATTTGAATGACAAAATATGGGCCCCTTTCCTTAGGTGTGTAGGTTAATAATGTTTCTGTAATCATTTATTTTTGGTAATATTTTTTTCTCTCTCTCCTTCCTTTTTACATGTCATTCTATGTTGTTTCTCATTCCATTAGTCTGGCTGAGATTTTTTATTGTTTTATTTTATGGTGCTGTATAATTGCTGTATTGTTTGCTAGTGTTTTGGTGCATGTTCTACTTAGTATCAGGTAATAACACTGAGATCATTTTGTTAACATATATACACGATGTGCACTATTTGGTGTTATGTTTTTACAAAAAACTTCTATAAATAAAGTAAAAAATGTTTACTAAATAGTTACTTAATTTAAATGGTAAATATTTAGAATAGTTCTAATTCATGCTGATGATCCAGTCTTTCTCTCTCACACACATCCACACACACACACACACACACCTCATCTGTGGGCTGTTGGAGGATAGGGAAGTACTTCTCAAGTTGGTCCAAACCCACCATTGCATACGTATTCACTGCCTCAACTGCGAAAGCCAAAATGAAATAATTATTTTAATTTATTACCAAGACATGTACTTTGTAAAATGAGTTTTAGATGTGCAGTTTAAGTCAGACTTATTAGCCACCCTGAATTATTAGCCACCCTGTTTATTTTTTCCCCAATTTCTGTTTAACAGAGAGAAGATTTTTTCAACACATTTCTAAACATAAAAGTCTTAATAACTCATCTCTAATAACTGATTTATTTTGTCTTTGCCATGATGACAGAAAATAATATTTGACTAGATATTTTTCAGGACACTTCTATACAGCTTAAATTGACATTTAAAGGCTTAACTAGGTTAATTAGGTTAACTAGGCAGGTTAGGGTAATTAGGCAAGTTATTAACGATGGTTTGTTCTGCAGACTATCAAAAACAAATATAGCTTAAAGGGGCTAATAATATTGACCTTAAAATGTTATTAAAAAAATTAAAAACTGCTTTTATTCTAGCCTAAATAAAACAAATAAGACTTTCTTCAGAAGAGAAAATAATATCAGACATCCTGTGAAAATGTCCTTGCTCTGTTAAACATCATTTAGATCAGGGGTGTCCAAACTCGGTCCTGGAGGGCCTGTGTCCTGCAGATTTTAGCTCCAACTTGTCTCAACACACCTGCATGAATGTTTCTAGAAAGCATAGTAAGAGCTTAATTAGCTAAACTAGGTGTGTCTGATTGGGGTTGTAACTAAACTTTGCAGGACACCGGCCCTCCAGGACTGAGTGTGGACACCCCTGATTCGGGAAATAATTTAAAAAGAAAAAAAATCAAATGGGGTCTAATAATTCTGACTTCAACTGTATATATATGCATCTGTTTAGTATGCTTTTTTCTATAGATATTTTGTACTTTTGTTGTGAGCATGCATGTCTCATATATAATTTCAGCTATAAAAAAAAAAGACTATGAAGGACTCACTTTCTGGCTGTAGGTTCTGGAGCAGTGGAGCAGCTTGTTGGAGGGCTGCTGTGGATGCACTACGGACACTCAGCTCTGCTACACCTCCCACAAACCCCAGCAGTGGATACCGTCCTTTTACAACTGTGTAGACGGATGAGGCCTGCTGCAGCGCAGAGCTGACCAGTGGCAGTTTCACCACACGGTTTAGGACGTTCCCCTGCACAGGCAAGTCTGTCATTTAGCATGATAACGATGCAGAAGTTAACAGTGTGGAGTAACCTTGAAAAGTAAGCTCACCTCACTGTTTCTTGTTTTAATCATGTCTGTTTAGTGCTGTGGAGGCAAACCAGAGCATATCAAACATATTGTGTCAGAAAGATTTCCAGTTATTTTCATTTTGACTTTTTTTTTTTTTTTTTTTGGAAGGATTAGATCGCACTGATGTTGAATTGCTAGTATGTTTTGAAAGTAATGTGGAAGGGTTGGGCCAATAAACGATATTATATCGAATTGCGCTAAAGTGTATGTCAATAACTATGATAAGCTCTTTACTTTTTTTTTTTACTCCATATTGATCCAAGATCACACAGCAGAAATGCGTAACAATGGGACTCTAAAGGTGTGTTAATATTAGAGATGTACTGAATTTTCGACCACCAAACATTTATTGGCCAAAAATGTTATGCCATTTAATGAACCCTCTAATTTTTGTGGCTTCATTGTTGTGGCATCATCGTTGGGGTACTCTTACAAATCTGGAAGCATTAAAAACTGATATCGAAATATATATCATTATCGTTTAATTTGGAATATAATTATCGAGATTGTATTTTTAAATATGAGTATAATTGAATAATTGTAATTGGATTGGGAAGGTTCTTCAGGGGAGTGCCTAAAATATAATTCAAGTTTATTTGTATAGCACTTGAGCACAATAAGTCTTGTATAATAAGCATAATATTTATATTTTTGAACACAATATTTGTATAATAAACAATCTACAAGCATAGATAAATTCAATAAAGAAAAATATGCATTTAAATACACAGTGTTTAATTGTTTTCCGAAGAGTCGAAAGGTATTCAGGTATACAGTAATTGAATAATCCAATGTAAATGAAACAGCATTCGTTTTATAATAATAAAACCATGAATTTCCATAAAATTAATCAGTAAATTTTCAAAGATACAAATGGTGCATTTTCTTAGGCCTTAAGGCTTTTAAAACCTTTGCACAGTCACAGGCCTGAAAAACAAAAGCAAAATGCTAAATTATAATCCAGACTTAACATTGCTTACTTGCGATCATTGTTGGCGATAACATATTACAAGTAAAGCGAGCTACATAATAATATTACTTTTCTAAGTAAAAAGTAACGCATTACTTTTCAAAATTAAGTAATAATATCTGAGTTACTTTTAAAATTTTTTTTAATGTGAGTTACTTTTTAATTTAATTCCAAAAAAAGTTATTGCTAAATTAAAATGAATGTAGTCATGTTGAATCACACACTCCATAAAAGAATGCAGGAACAGACAGAAATGAAGATGACAGACCCTTTGATTTTTGCAATAAAAAATTCGCATTATTTTGAACGCATGGAAGAAAAGAAGAAAAGAGAATTATCTGAATTGACAGTGATTTTACTTTTGAATAAGACAAAAAGTACAAAAGTAGCAAACACACTGCTTTAAACTGTCATTAATCTGTATATACGGCATGCATAACTCCGGGGTGGGGTCAGGGAATTCTCAGAAGATAACATTACCCTTCATTCATTTTTACTGTGTGTTTTTAAAGGTAAATGAAGGTTATACAGTGTGTCGTTAACTCCTCTATTTAAAAAAAAAGGAAAAAAATCTCCCTGCTAGTTCTGAAAGACATCAAGCCTCAGCCTGGTCAAAATAAAGTAATGCAAATGAACTCAAAAAACATAACACAGTGCTTATCATAAAAAGTAACTAACAAACACAACTATTTACTTTTTTGGGGAGTAACTCAATATAGTAATGCATTACTTTTTAAAATAAATTTCTCCAACACTGCTTGTGATGTGACTATTGCGAATGATCACATTGCGATTTCAATGCTGAAATGATAAATTGTGCAGCCCTAGATTCAAGACTTGGAAAGTACTTAAAAACAAACATAGATGCTTGAAATTAAATTTGAAATGGAATTTGTTTATGGTGTTATTTTAGAGACTGAACTGTGCAGCTGTCCAAAACAAAACTAAAATTATAAAAAAAATGTAAAAAAAAATATTTATTTAAAAATCTTAAATTTGACAAATGAAGCACATTTTATTAATTTTTCAAAAACCATATTTAAATACACTAGTATAAACCATTCTGAGGGATGTAAACAAACAACGGTCCCAACATATTTCCTGTTTTACATTTTCCATTGGCTTTCCAGAATCCAAAAATAGCTACATAGTGACAAATGATGTTATGAGAGCTGTTTTAACTATTAAATTGCTCTTGTTACAGTCATGAAATGGTTTGTTATCAAGCAGGAAACGTTTATGGGCCAGTGACATGACCACATTGAAATGGTCTATTGTTTTTTAACCACTGAAATGACACCTTCAAAACATCATCATTACTCTGACATTTTAAGCTGAATATTAAGTGTAAGTGAAATGTTGAGTACATGGCACTATATGCTGGGGAAATTAAAAAAAGCTTGATTTAAAATTAATGGTGCTTTAAAAAGTCCTTGAATCTGCTGTTCATTAAAGAGTGGAAACCCTGAGTAGAATTCTTTTAAAACAGTAATCTAGTATTATCGTACTAATTATACATTATGATTACCAAACCAAAGGCCTTTACTTCTGACAGCTGAAAATACTTAATTTCAACTACGTCAATACTGTTTTGTAATCAATAATATGACTTGCCCATTCCAAGTCAGCTGATGTCACATGACATTATCAGTCAGTGCTGAACACCCTTGCTGTGAAAATTTCATTAAGTGTTTAAACCACACCAGAAAACTGAGCTTGCATTTAAACAATGAAATCTAGAGTATAGGATGTGGGGGGGAAATCCAGCAGTAAGTAATATTGTGGGATGAAAGCAGTCAATTGATTTGGTGTCCTTGAAATGTCATGGACAGACAAAAACTTCCAAGTCTGTCTAATTCTTATCAGATCAAGTCAAATGTACAGATCAAAGAGTTTAAAAGGAATGTTATCTCATGAAATAAAATCCAACGGAAAATAGATCAAAAGCTTAATGACAGGCCTGTTTGTACAATAAAGTGTGTGCTTTTTAGATTCACTTACTGCTCAGATGGGCCCCAAAATTCCAGTGAATGTCAGCTCTGAACAAGTGCTTACCTGCGGGAAATTCAAGTGATAGGTAATATAAAAGATAGCAAAAAAAAAAAAAAGAAACTCTTGTAATCTGCCTTAAAGAGGTTGTTCACCAAAAACGTGAATCAATTATCCATCAAGTTATTATCAATCATAATTTTTAAATCTGTATATATTTTTTTAAATTAACAACTTTATACAAAGTGAAATAACAACATGATGTCAAATATCACTTTAAACTTTCTGCTGTTAAACACAAACAAAGATATTCATTTATTCATTCATGTTCCTTTGGGTTAGTCTCTATTACAGAGGTCGGCACAGTAAAATACATCACTAACTATTCCAGCACATGTTTTACGCAGCAGATACCCTTCCAGCTGCAATCCAGTATAGGGAAACACCTATAGACTTTCTCATTCACACACACATAGTTTATTCAATTGACCTCTTCTGCATGTCTTTGGACTTTTGGGGGAAACTGGAGCACCCAGAGAAAACCCACGCGAACATGGGGAGAACATGCAAACTCTACACTGAAATGCCAGCTGGGATTTGAACCAGTGACCTTGCTTTGAGATGACAGTGTTAACCACTGAGCCACCAATCCACCCAAACAAGAACATAATGAAGAATATTGGAAACTGGTAGCCATTGATCAACATTCTATGATAAAAATGCTATGGAAACCAATGACTTTTGGTTTCGTAAATATAAAAAAAAAAAATCAAACTGGTTTGAAACAACTGGAACAAACAATGACACATCTATTTATTTATTTTTTGGTGAAAAATCCTTGGGAGATGAAAAAATATAAAAGATTATTGAACATACTTTATACAAATAATGGAAGGGGTAGCTAATCATCTTTCAGGACTCTGAAGAAGACTTGATTCTTCCTCGGTTTATGCTGCATTGCAAAAATTATCTGCCTGTTGGGTTTTTATATTTTATATTGCATAATGATCTCTGCTCCTTTTGCAACTGGAAGTTTTGATATTGAAAATATAAAAAAGTATTTTTTTTTATATTCATTCATTCATTCATTCATTTTCAGCTTAGTCCCTTAAACAGTCAGGGGTCACCACAGAATGAACCGCCAACTTATCTAGCATATGTTTTACACAGCAGATGCCCTTCCAGCCGCAATCCAACACTGTGAGACACTCATACACCCTTGCATTCAAACACAAACACTATGGCCAGTTTAGCTCATTCAATTTACATATACCACATGTCTTTGGACTATGGGGGAAACCAGAGCACCCGGAGGAAACAGACGCGAACACAGGGAGAACACACAAACTCCAGAAAGAACTGTCAACTGACCAAGCCAGGGCTCAAACCAGTGACCTTCATGCTGTGAGGGGATCGTGCTACCCACTGTAACACCCTATTTTTAAAAAATGTTTGTAGTAATTTACAACTATATTATTTCCAGGTATACATAGATTACATTAGAAATACAGAGTAATAACTGGCTAGTAACGTTTCTGTTATTGTACGGATTTATATTTATCTATATACGATTAAAATTTATTGTGCTAGACTTAAAGCTATAATCAAGAATCCCATTCTATAATTTACAATTAAATAAATAGATTTTTTGTTTATTTGTATCAAAATGAATATATTGCATAAAACAAATTAAATCCCAATGAAATCAAATTTAATCCCAACACACAGGCTTTTCTACATTGAGGCTTTACCATCTGCTGTATCTACACTATTTCACTTTTTTTTTTTTTTTTTTACCGAGTAGACAATAAGCAGCAATAGTTCTTACCTTAAGGATATTGTGTCCTTTGAGATGGAAAAATACCAAAATAAAAATACAGCGATATCTTAAATAGTTAACAAAGTTATCAATTATCAAAAATATCAGTTATTTAATAGTCTCACACCCACTTGAACTCTTTCAGTTAGTTCTCAATCTGTCTGCAATGACTGATCTGAGGGTTTTGTTGGATGAATTTGTCATTTTTCATGGTAGGTGCATGTGATGCCCCTCATTTAGGGTGCGGCCAATCCACGTATGTGGAGATGATTCTGTGGCGTTGTTTGCCATTGGTTTACCAACCAGACAGTTGATGGACTGTGGGATTTTTGGACAGTTTTGACTGCCATTTCTCACGTATGCTCTTTGACTTGTTTACATCAGCTACCAGAATTGACATCAATGTTCATACCAGAATTACGTCTATTCAGTAAAATCTGCGGAAAGACAATAAAGACAGCTCTTTGTTGTAATAAACAAAGAAGTAGAGTCTCTGCCTTAATGAGCAAGACATTTTGAAGAATGGAATCTAATGTTATCTAAACTTGTGATGTAGGAACATGTCTGCTGTGTACAGAGAGTCTAGTCAGATGTATCTAGAGAGTTATGATTTTAATGTCACAGTTCAAAAGTTTATGGATTGTTCAGACCCTTTTCAACAGCATTCCTGTTCTGATTCAGAAATTGAACGAATGGGAATAAACTACCAGAAGATTGAAGTTTCTTCCGAGAAAATCAATCACTGAACAAGAAGTACATTAAGGTCATCTCACATTGCCAAGGCATAATGGAAAATCTTCACAAAGACTCTCTTTGGAGAGTCATGTTGGTTTTTCCTCAATTTCCAACAAAAATGATTCAGTAAAGCAGACTTAAATAAGTGTAAACAATCATTTGACAGTTTGAGCTTGGGAAATTTTCTCAGACTTTGCCTAAAGGATCTGTATCAAAAGAGGAGGCTATCGTATTATTGCATTTCACAATCTAACATGTCTGGTGGCAATAACGATTTTTTTTTTTAACTTTTAGTAGAGTTCTCAGACCTTTAAAAGGGAGACAGAATAATTTTCATGGTTTTATTTATTTTTGGAAATTAATTGACGTCAATGCTCATGACGCATTTATTTGCTCGAGGTTAGCTTTAAAACATACATTCCTGTAATATACTTCATCATTTGATTTTCAGAAACTTCTTTTGAACGTTTTCTCATCATCATTTGCTTAGTTTCAACTCATCCATCAGTTATCCAACAGAATCCACAGCTCTGATGGCTATAGTGTGGCTTTCTTTATGGCTGTCATATTCTTTTTTTTTTTTTTTTTTTTGAGTGAGAATCCAGGCTTCATCCGTATTATATTTGTTACATATCAGTTTGGAATTTCACTTTCTCTTTGCTTCAGCTTAAACCTTCAAAATCCAACCTTGCTATTTCTTATACACTGTACAAAATAGCTACAGTTGGCCCACACAGAATCTGTGCCCACAGAAAACCCCACAGAGCCCATCATTCACTCTATTTTTTCCTTTATGTAAATGTAGGTAAATACTGTATATATTTATTCAGTTTAAATATAAATACCAGTATCATGTTATTGACTAATATAAAAAATGTTCTGATGATTTACAGTATACAATTTGTAAAGTAATATTTTCTATCTTTTAGTGAATGTATTCATTGATTGAGTGTCATTGAGAATCAATGATTAAACTCTTGCGGTAAACAAGCAGAATCACTGAAGAAACAAAAGTACCACTGACTGCAGTTTGATTCATTTTTTGTCACACAGCTACAAAAGTCCCTAGTCAAATTTTCTAAAAATGTTTTGTTAGCCAATACCACTATGATGAACAGTGGTTGCTTTATCAGGATGCCCTACCTGGTGAAACCCAAAACCCTCAGTGCTGGGAAGCAACCACACACTCTCCCATTCACACATGACTGACTTAGTTAATCCAATTTACCTATATCACATGTCTTTGGACTGTGGGGGAAACCGGAGCAGTTTACCTACACTGTAAAAAATGCAGGGTTCCACACAATTCATTCATGTTGTCCCAACACAAATCGATTAAGTTATCTTTTAACAAATTTATGTGGATTTATATAAAAAATTAAGTTGTCCCAGTGATATCTCAAGAATTGTGTTGTTTCAGCTCATTTTAATTACGTAGTTTGAATGAGTGAAAAATTATTATTTTTTTGAGTGTAACAAGTAGATCTAATTGGATTTGCGCTGTAAATATAAATAAAGATAAAACTATAAACAAAGAAAACTATCTTCCATGTCTTTTGGGGGAAACAGGAGAACCTGAAGGAATCTCCAAAGACAGAGAGAACATGCAAACCTTGCAAAAAAAGGCCTCCTGGTGCAGCCAGGACTTGCGCCAGCCACCATCTCGCTGTGAGGCAACCATGCAAACCACTGGAGTGTGTCCTCGCTGCAGCCTGTAGCACAAGATTGATTAGTAGACGTGCATGCGCAAGCGTTTGTTGCTAGAAAATTAAACTATTGATATTATTGAATTACCCATTACATTCTGTTGTTAACATCTATACATACCCCAACCCTAAACTCAACCCTCACAGTTATTAATGTTTATACACCTACACAAACACACAGAAAAGATGTCTGAAATTGATTAGTTTTTTTTTTTGACTTAGTCCCTTTATTAATCTGGGGTCGCCACAGCAGAATAAACCACCAACTTATCCAGCACAGTTTTACACAGCAGATGCCCTTCCAGCCCTAACCCAACACTGGGAATTGTCTGCTAAATTGTTGCAAACAATTTATGTTTTGAATTTAAACAAATTAAATTTATTATCCATTCATTCATTCATTTTCTTGTCGGCTTAGTCCCTTTATTAATCCGGGGTTGCCACAGCGGAATGAACCGCAAACTTATCTAGCAAGTTTTTATGCAGCAGATGCCCTTCCAGCCGCAACCCATCTCTGGGAAACATTCACACACACATACACTACAGACAATTTTAGCTTGCCCAATTCACCTGTACCACATGTCTTTGGACTGTGGGGGAAACCGGAGCACCCGGAGGAAACCCACGCAAAGGCAGGGAGAACATGCAAACTCCACACAGAAACTCCAACTGAGCCGAGGTTCGAACCAGCGACCTTCTTGCTGTGAGGCGACATTATTGAATTCTGTCATTGACATCATTGAATTCTTCCTACTACTTATTTAAAACCAGCTGAATAAACGCAATTCTTGAGATTTTATTGCGTTAACTTAATTTTTTTCATGTTCAATCCACAAATTTTGGTAAAAGTGTTAAGTTAACTTAATCGATTTGTGTTGGGACAACATGAAAGAATTGTGTGGAACCCTGCATTTTTTACAGTGCATTACGATAGTGAGTGTTACGATTTCCACTTATTAGACCTGATCCAGTACGTCATCGTGCTACGGACTGCAGCGAAGACATCTCGAACCATTGAGCCACCATGCTGCCAATGTGAAAGCACTTCTATTATCCATCTCAAGCAGAAATGTTCTGAAATTTCCCTTTATATATGGAAGTGACAAAAAGATATTAATTTGTGTATCACGTTTATTTTGCACATTCAGTGGATGTTAAGAACACTAACATACAGGTGGGTGTGTAACATTAGCAGAGATCTCACAGCATTTTCCAGTACATCATGTCAAATATTCACAAGATATTGTTTTGCACTAATACATTTTGCAGTGTCCTGCCACTTTATTTTTGAACATAAATTGTGTTAAGGTCACAGGAATGTTGTTTTACATTTTATTATTTTTATCTATCCTGTATTATTAGTATAATTATTCTACCTGTGTGTTTTAGGTTCTCCAAATAATGTTTTCTATCTTTCTCTTTTGGCATACCAGTGATTTTCCACATGAAAGAGATTGCTAGGTGGATAGAGTGTGCTTTTATACAGGAAGTGTGACTTGAACATGGAAGAAGATCCATTCAGAAATAGCATCTTTATGATAGAGAAAGCATTTGCTATATTGTTTACCACTATTGGCTATATGTAGGTAATTAAGCAGGAGTGTGTGTAATCTATATTAGAGAAATAACAATAAGTGTTTTGGGCAATAGTACGTGTTTTTCTGATTTTCCTCAATCCTGAGCACATTTCCAATTTTTTTTTTTTTTTTTTGCACTTTTAGGAATGCATTTTTTGGAGAAAATGTCAATTTAGATCTTTTCAGTATTAACTAAATGAGTTAAGACATTTTTCAATCATTTATAGTTTTCTGAATACATGGGACTAAATCATAGTGGAAAAACTGTTGAACATACTTTATTTTGTTAACTTCCTTCAGCTCTAGATATAATCCTTCCTGTGTCTTAGGTTCATTCTGGGTCTCTTCCCAGCTTGTCATGCCTAGTGCAATGCATTCTCCTTGCTCAAACTGCTCTAGTAAATGCCATCAGGGCAACCTCATCCACAAAAAAAGCAGAGGCGTTAAAGGGTGAGGGCTTGATTGCGTTATCTCTGCATTTTGTAGCAGCATAATTGCAGTCTATTAACTGTCGTGAAATTGTCCTGACAAAATGCATCATTTGTATCTTTAAGTACAGTTTGTCTTATGATCAACCAGCCATTCACCATGCTGATTAGTTACTGTCGCTGTCTTTTGATACATTTAAAACAACTGCCTACATTATGTCCTTTTTTCTAAAATCAGACTTAACTGCAGTGTATGTTTGATTCACTAAAATGAATTGTTTCAATGGAGTTCATTTTTTTACTACAGTGTTCTTTCCGCGTTAAAAGAAATGCACAAGCAGGATCATTAAAGGAACCAAATATAATTTGGTTAGTCAATGAAAAGAATGATCTATTCTTCAGAAATGAAACCGGCTTCAGTTTATTGTTGGAAATTTGTTGCCTTGTGATTTATTCAGTGCTTGTAATGGGTTTTATTGTCTTTACTTGTGTTGTGCTGCTCGTGTCTGGTGTAGACAAAAAGTTATCAGCCTTTATTCTGACTTCATAAGACACAATATTCTATCCCAGACATAGACTGTAGACTTAATAAAAGTAAATTCAAAGTAAGGAGCACCAGTCAGAAAGTCTCAGGCTACCAGTGGGAATCACATTATTATACATGTTCTCATCATAAAAGAGAGAGACAGAAATGGGGGAAGTAAGGAGAGGGTAGTATGCAAATGACAGAAATACAAAGGATAAAATGCTACATACCTTCTTTTTCCTTAAGGTCATATCAAATGGCTCAGAAAGCCTCCTTATTAATACCAAAGCTTTTCAGCTTTGTTCTACAAGCACACATGTTTGTCTATCTCTATATCACACAGGATATAAAATGACAGCAGATCCAATTCACCTTATAAAAAGAGCATCTGATGACATGGGCTAGTCAAGTCTACAACACAGTGAACCTCTGTTTCATGGTGAAGTGAAGCTCTGATGTATGAAATTCAGACAGAAAGTGACATTCAGAGTGTGTTTGTGGCATAGCAGTGTAGACTGAGGTTTTTCAGGGCCTGATTTATCCAAAGTGTATGATGAAATTGTTGCCCAAGCAATAAATCAGGCCCGGAGTGCTGCCAAAAAGGTTATTGTTGTACAATCACATGACTGGACTAATAGCTGAGGAGAATGTGACACAGCAGGAATCTCCGTAACATCTCCAGCCAAAGCAGAACGGAACAAATCATACTTTAACGTAGATCATACAACCTCTGCGTCACTTTGGTGCGTTGCTCATACAGTGGAGATAATCAGTACATATCAGAAGATATTTTTTCACAAGCTCCCCTTCTAAAAGAGCCAGTGTATTGCGCATAAAAGCACGTAATGTCCCATTCTGGATTTAAATACGGAGCGTTAAGACATGCGATACGTTTCTTGAGAACAGCTATAGAATCCCAAACCACAAGAACTCCTCTAACAGTCTGTCAGTTTGTTATATTTTGGTCTCGTTTTATTATTTATCTTCTATGTATGTGTGATTAGGTAATGTGTCCTTGTGATTTTAAAATGATTCATTTCCGAGGCCCATCGTTGCATCAGCAATGATGTAAAAGTTGGCTTAAGTTCTTTTTTTACAAATCCTCCTGAATTTCAGTTACCATGTTGTGGGTGGTAACAAAGGCATCTTTTCCCAGAATTCTTTCTCTCTCTCTCATTCAGAAATGTTTCCTGTGTGCCTGTGTTTTGAGTGTGTGTGTGTGGAGAGAGAGTGTTAATGTGAAGCTCTAATGTTAATTGAGCGTGTGCCACTTTGATATTTGGCGTCGTGGGTTTTGACAGACTTCCTGCCAGTGGGCAGCACCTGAAGGGCATGGGCTGTCTGCGCCGAGCACCAGGCGTCCCAAAGCCTGGTTTTTAGTAGTGCGGTCAAAGTCCATGACCAGGAACTCAATAGAGATGTCAGGGAGCAACTCAGCTGGCACGTCATAGATGAAGGATTCGTTAAAGACGGGGTTGAGCGTGCATTTTTTCACATGCGTTTTCTTCTTGGCAATGCGCTTGTGGCCGTAGAACACATTCAGCTTCACGTAAGGATCTGGGACAAGAGATAAGACCAGTTATTAGATTCCAACAGTTGTTATGGATTTGCTACTACATTTTAGGGATTAGTTCAGAAAAGTCTATCATTGTTCTCTCCTGTCATTTCAAAACTATTTCATATTTAAACACCTTTGGTACAGATTTTGTCCCTCTATTGAATGTCTGTCCACCCAAAACTTTGACAGACATAAAAAATCTTTATGAATTATGGTACATCAACTATATGAACCGATATTTTTTATCCTTTATTCGCACATGGAATAGTGTAAATTGTTAAGGACTTTCAAACTTGGCCACAAAAGCTATTATGTTCTTGTGCATCAGGTTAAGCTTCAGCTACTGTTACTGATCAATGTTTATGTGAACGAACGCTGAAATGAAATCGGTATCAAGAGTGATCACGTCTCTTCAGAAGAAAGCAAAACCTGTTTTAAATGGGTTTATTTTTAATCTATTCACAAACATTTAAAATGTCATAAAAGTGACATTTGTATTTTGACAAAAAATATATGATGTTCAAAAGCATAGGTTTGGTAAAAAAAAGAATACTGAAATAATTTGACAAAAAATACAATAAAAGTGATATTTATAAATATAATAAATAGAATTTTGTGTGTTTTAGTTTGTTTTTAATATATACCGTATTCCTGTCGTGCAATTTTCAGCAGTAAAATAATTTTATGACTTATTATTTAACAAGTTATTATTAGGGTGTGTTCACCAAGGCATTATTTTCACTCTAAAAAATCAGCTGTCAAAGGATTTATAAAATGCCATGCGCTTAGCATTGAGCGTAAAATGCACACGCACTTCCGTTGACAACAAAAGAAAAAAAAAGCAGTGCAAAAACACTTTGGTGGACATGCACGCTTAATATTAAAAACTGAGGTACTGTTTAATATTTTCTGAAAACCATGAAATCATGTCCAAGTGTCTTTTATATACAAATAAAAAAATAAAAGGACATTTGAATGGAAAAACCTTTTGCAACGTAAATTTCTTTACTGTCACTTGACCAAATTAATAAAAGCACTAATATTGTTTATAGAAAAACAATAACAGGGTTGTATTGATTGAAACGTCTTTTTAAATGTAGACTTACTTGCAGACAAGCCAGTGATGTCCAGTTTTGGAAGATGTTTTGCTTTTAACACCACCACACTGAGTCTGTGAGAAACAGGCTGATAGGAAAGAGAAACCAGCAGCTCTCCATGGCTCACACACTGCAAAAAAAAAAACACAGTCGATGTTTAAATAGACAGCTTTTCTTGGGCATCCATACACTAACAGTTGCATAATAAAAAAATAAATACTGAATGGAACCATTTGGATTTATCTTCTTTTTTTGCCTTCAAGAAGTAGTGCACCTCAAAAATTTAAATTCAATCATAATTTACTCATCCTCTTAACCCAGTGGTTGCCAAAGTGGGGGCCAGGATGCAGGATGCAATGGTCGCTTGGTAGTTACATTAAAAAATGCAAATGAAAAGCCATCAGTCTTTAAATTTTTTTGTGAATCCTGGGGTGATTACGTTGTATTAAAAACACAGCAAAAGCGTCAGATGCACTAAATCCAAAACCAGGTTAAACTTTCTGACACCTTTATGGCACTCAACGTATATTAAAAATAAATTAAAACAACTGTACATGGAGGATGGTCTCCAAGTAGTATTCTCCAAAATTAAACAATGAATAGTCAAGGTAGATAATGTACAACTGCAAGGTTTATATTATTAAAACCACCTCAGAGAATATTGGGGGTCGCAAGTCACTGGCATTGTTCTTTTGTGGGTTGCGGGTTGGAAAAGTTTGTGAAACCCTGTCTTAACCTGTTGAAGATTTTTCTTCTGTTAAACAACAAATGAATACATTTTGAAGAATGCAGGATAAAAATCTTAACTTTGATAGTATTTTCCCTACCAAAATTCTTCAAAATGCCTTCATTTGTTTTCAACAGAAGAAAAAAAAACATTTTATGTTCAACAGAAGAAAGGAACTCAAACAGGTTTGTTATCAATTGAGGGTAAATAATTATTAATATTTATTTGTTTATTCATTCATTCATTCTCAGATTCTGCAGGTTGCAATGTCCTGAATTTTGCCAATATTAGGCCAATCGCTATCGTTTGTTTTGGTTCAATTTGGAATTTCCCCAAAAATGCAGAGCCTGGGGAATCAGAGTCAGTGGTCCGACCCTCCCCCTTAAATTAACAATAAAACAGGTTTTCTATGCACCTCCACATCACTATAACTTCAGCTCAAAAAGGTAAGTGAGACTCATAGCAGCTCCTCAACATAAGTTGTGTTAGCAGAGGAACTGTTTAGATTCATTAATGATGGGTACACGAGCTGTTCACTCGTGAATAATTGTTTTCCGTTTATCTTCACAGCTCATCCTCTCTTAAGTTCCGTGTGGAGGCACAAGCAGGCTTTGATGTACGCATCATCCAAACCCACGCAGTGAGCAGGAGGATAAGCACATTTATCAATGACTGCAATCTGCAGTAGGAGGATGACACAGTGATGATTCAGTGCTGAGCTCATACAAGAGTCTGACTTATAATAAGAGCACAGATGAATCAATCACAGCGTGACAGCACACATTCAGTACAGGAAACGCATTTAAGGAATCTAAATGCTTTAGTCTTGTTATATAATGTACATAATATGGTATATACTGTAGGTATTGTTGTAGTTGTGCATACTTTATGTATGTATATGTAGTAGTTAATAGTATTTTATGCTATAAATATATATCACATTTTTGTTTTTTGCATGCGGCTTATATGAAGCACTATATGATGCAGTGCATAGTGCTTTATAACTGACAGTGATACACAGAATTAAACTAGGTACAATAGGACACTGACTTTGTGTCTGAATCTGCCTACTCTAATACTGTATAGAAATTATTCGTAAAATAGTATAGTATAGTATATTACAGTATAGTATGTAAGCTAAAAACAGCCAGATGACCAGATTTTTGAAATGCGCAATTGATGGACTCTTTTCCATCCCATGATGCCATTTACGTTACACGTTAAACTAACAAAATGGCGGATTTAGTAGTCTAAGGCCAGTTTACACTAGTGCGTTTTAGTTTTAAAACGGCGTTTTAGATCAAAAACGATCCGCGTCCACACTAGCGTTTTACCTAGCGTCTTTGAACATATCTCCGTCCACACTACGCCACCAAAAACGTATATCACGTGACCATCCGTGCACTCTGGGCATGCGCATTCTAGTATAAACAGAAAGCATGCGTCTCACTCGGCATTTGGTAATTTTTAGTCAACAAACGCCGGTTGAACATTTAACGCGATGGCAAAGAAAGCAAGAGAGGTATTTTTGTGGACAGACGACGAGCTCGAGAACTCCGGCGTAGTGTGGACGGATGGCGCAACCGTAGCAAAACTTAAGCGTTTTAAAACAAAAACACATTAGTGTAAACGGGGCCTAAATTTAATTCATATTACTCGTACTATACAGAATTTACTTTTAAGGGGATGCAAAGTTCAAATTTATAGATTTTTATTAGTCATAAGTTTCATATAAAACCTACAATGTAGTAAATGATTTCTCAAATTAATTGTTTGTGTTATCTTACCTGCATGTTTCTCTTTGTGATCTGTTGTGTAATATGAACCCGTCCTGTACTCGGGTCCACGCCAGCCAGCGGAACCATAGCCTCACCAATCACATCATCTCGTGAAAAACGATCAAAGCTCAACACCAAGAAGTGCAGCGTGAGATCTGACAAGGAGCTGTACGGTACGCCATAAAACGTGAAGGTTTCATCAAACGCAGGCTCCAGAGTCTTCCTCAAAACTCGAGTCTTCACTCGATGCTTCTTCTCCGGAAGAATGGTCATCTTTACATAGGGGTCGGCGCTGCCTGTCTGACCTTCCACTGCCGGCAAACCACGAGCCTCCAGGATGGTGACCACCAAGGCCTTCTTGGGGAAGTTATAGTCGATTGCAATGCTGAGGTCTCCCCGGCTGGGTTCATCGGCAGGGGTGAAGGGTGTAGCAGTGCTGGAAACCGTAGTGCTGGACGTCTGACTGCTGCTTGCGGAGCTGCTATCCAAGCAGCAGTAATCGGCTCGCACCGGAAGCTCCCTCTCCAGCCTGGAAACCTCATGCCCACTTTCCTCAAGCCTCATCTGCTTTTCCCCAAGCAAGCCACTTTCTGCTGCCGAATCCATATTCACCAGCACCACTGGGCGGCCCTTGCTGCCTTGTACTCGGTCAGAGGTTTGAGCTCTGGCTTCACGTGCCACTCGAATTATTCTCTTGCTGTTGGTAAGTGCATCAGGATAGATGCTCATCCCTTTCAGCATGTGGATAAATTTGTACGGAGGGTCTGTGAGAGGATCGCTGTGTTCCGACTGGATGCCATGGAGCTTGTAGTTGGTCCTGTTGTAATGTTTCTGACAGCAAGTCCACAGGTAGATTAACGCAAAGACTGCAACGACCAACACGCCAGCACCGATAAACCCTGCCAGCACTGGAGACATGTCTGAAAGAGAAGAACAGACGGGAGATAAACACAAGGGGACATAACTCAGTCACATCCATTTACATCTTCTACATTCATACCTTAAGACGTTCAGATAGCTATCTTTAACAGAATTAAGCGACAGTCTCTCTGGTTCTGGATGGTTATAGCACACCAGCTCTGAACAAGCAGCCACTGACAGACTGGCAGTCTCTTTATTCTGCTTCATGCCCACTCCACCCGCAAGATGCAGAGGACCACGATCAGCCCACAACAAGACTACGGCATCCGGTCTCACCACGCAACAACACAGTTATCAAATATTTTAGATCAAATCCTGGCTAGTGTTCCTACATTTGGTTTGTGTAAATGTCATTTGTGTTTGTGACTGGCATTTAATGTTGTCCTATGTTAAATTGGTTGTTTAAAACCATATTTTTTTGTAACTTTGTCACTTAAAATGCTGTAAAGTTAGCTGAACCATAAATAAAAACATATATATAATCGAATAAAGGTTTAGAGTCAGTATGATTTATGACTAAATTGTTTTAAAATATTTTTTTTTATTAAATATTTATTTAATTTTTTTATAATTCGACTTTTTTACTGCCAAGAACAAAAAACACACTTCACATTACACATGATACATGGTACATATACACCCACCTGTCACACCAAGAAAATTGAACAACATATAGTAACCATATATGGAAATTAAGGTTGTGGTACCTTTGTGATACATACTTATTTATCCCTATTATAAATGTCGCCAGAGATTATCCCCTTTTCTATGTACTTCTCCCACATTATTTAATCTCCCCAGCATACACAACGTTTTCAATCATCCCATTAATCCACTCTTTTACTTCTGGCATTCTGGGAAACTTCCAATTATGTAGGGTCATCCTAGCATCTGTAATGCATCCAATCTTGAGAAGAACAAAGGAATTTTTACCTATATTAGGTATCACTAGTTTGTCAACCAGAAGGCAAAGCCATGGCTCTACAGGTAACTCACAGCGTAGCCACTCCTCAATAATTGTTTTAATTTTAAAGCAGAATGGATAAACTAAGCAACATCCCCAGATCATGTGTAAATAAGTACCCTCTTGTTTATTGCATTTCCAACACAGATTTGTTCGAGCTAGTCCCATCCTATAGAGTCTGGATAGTGTGTAGTATTGTCTATTATCTGTCTATTACTTTGTACTGAATGAACTTTCCTCTAATTTCTCTCATATTTTTTACCTACATTGGAAAGGATGTCCTATTATTTTAGGATATAAATACTTATATATGCTGATGAACATTGATCAAATTAATAATAAAGATATTTTATTCATTTTTATTCATCAAAAACATCATAAACAATCAAAAACATCGTCATTTTTTACAGAAGCATAAGCAGTGGCCATGAATTTTTCCCACAAATTAATCACTTATTATTAGTTTTATAAATCCATTAATTAGGGATTTGTTCCCTGAAATAAAAAAAAATTGCCAGAATGTACGTCTTAACAGAAATGAATAAGAGTTTAAAATATAGCTGCAAGCAGCAATTATCAGGGCCAAGCAGACCAGCGTCCACATCATAAACAAGCATGGAAACAAGCTACAGAGCAACTGGAAAATTCTACAACTTTTTGGCACCATGGTCTGAGCCAAATTTAGTGGAAATTGGGCTAAAGATCTATGGAGAGTTCAACACAACAGATTTTAAAATAAAAAAGACCAGTCTCATGACAGTAGACAGAACTATTCAAAAGTCTTTTGATAAATATTGTATGATTTTTATTGATAGAATTTAATTGTTTGTCAATTTTACCCAGAAGGTGGTGCAAACTGACGTATAGTTTCGTCAATGTCAACTCTAAATCACACAAGTTAAGTTGGGTTTTGATACTTCAAACCGTTTGTGCATATGCTAAATAACAACAGTTTTTTCTATCGACATAATTGCCATAACTTTTGGTCTGTCAAAAACCGTTTGTCAGCATGGCCTGAAGATGATGAGTCAAATTTGGTGCAAATCAGCCAAACGATGTAGGAGGAGTTTGAAAAAGTAGGTTGTTGACCCAAGGCTACATGGCGGACACAAAGTTCGGTTAATTAAGGCATAATTGGTTTCGATATTCTCAGGACAACCCAAGGAATGAATCAAGACACAACAAGTTTCATAACAATACGCAAAGTTATTTAAAAGTTATTAGCATTTGTAGAAATATGGTTGTGTAACGTTTGACCAAAAAACGGTGCTGCAACGAAGCTTTTTGAACGCCTTCAGGGCACAGTCCCGAAGACACATACTGACTTTTATAACAATTCGCCATTGCATCCGTAAAAACTAGCAACTTTTAACATAATTCAAAATGTCCGACAGCCAAAATGTCTGACCTGAGAAAATCAGACCTCACTTGACTCGGCATGCTCTGATGGATGTAAAGATACCAATTTTATGAATTTTGGACATTGGGTTGTAAAGTTATAAGCAAAAAAGCATTTTTATGAATCTCCAGACCACTGCGCTGAAATGCTGCAGCTCACGTCAATTTTCGCAAGGTCTATGTTAAATTTGTTTGCAAGTTAATCAAACTCTGTATCTCCGGTTTGTCTAATCATCTTGAATTTCATAATTTTTTGTTAACATGGCCTGTAAATCATGTGATAAAATGTTTGTTAAAATCGAAATGGCCTAAGACGAGTTTGTTCAAATAGGTTTTACAAAAAATTTAAAATAGTGATGTGAGAGGGTGCGTTTGAATGGGCTTGAGCCAATGAAAGAATCAAAAAGAATATTGATTGTTGCTCATTCGGTTAAAATGTTATAAAGATTAACATAAGTTTGAACAGGTGATGGCACTACAAAGTTTGAGTTAGAGTCCAAATTTGTTGTGGTTGAAGATGAGACTGTCCTCTATCAGTGTGCCAAAGTTTGCGCCAATGCCACAAAAGGCTCATATGGCTGCCAATAGACTACCAGAGCATAAGAAGAAGCCGTAAGAATAATAAGAACTGGAACGGATCCGTAGGTGCATTGGCCCCTAAACATAGTTGTATTGAATAAAATATAAATATTGTTTTTGCTGTATTTATTGTATTAAAAAGTACAACTTTAGTGGGCATTCAACACATTTTTACTGATCCCAAAGTATGTTTAATGAATTTGTATGTGACTGTATTACAGATCAGTAAGAAAAAACTGCATTCACAGTAAAGGATAGAAAAAACCCTGAAAGACTGTGTATTTACTGAAACTTTCTGTCCTTGCGCTGTCAGAGCAGTGACATAAATTGAAATTAATCTATGATTGATGGCAGCAGAACAGAAATGCTCCCTGCAGGCGAGTGTTTGTGTTGCTGATACATGGCCAAGCTAAGCTGTTTAAACATGGCTTGAATAACAATGAGTCTTTATGCTGATCACTCTGTCCACCTCACCATACCATATTATGAGGTCACAGTGACCTAACTTATGAGATCAGACATGAGGTCAGCAGTTTTACTGGATCCCTGCGTGTTTGTTTAAATAATGGAAGGCAATTTAGATTCAGAAGAGAACGAGAAGGGCAGCAAACAATATCTAGAGTCATTACAGCCCAAAAGAACAGCATGAAGGAGCTGCAGCCAAAATGAACAGCTCGAGGCAGACAGAAAAAGAGATTAGCTAGTGCTCCACCCAGTCTGTTTTTTTTTTATTCTTCATCACTCTCAACCAGCCACAGACAAAGACTCTCACCCTATTGCTATATGATGTAAGAAGAAAAAACAGCTGCTACAGTTACCTGGAAATATCCCATGGGGCATGAACCAGAATAGGCAAACAGAGAGAATAGACACCAACCTATAGAAAAAAGCCCAGAGCTTCTGAACTCTAAACTGAGACATCTCTAGGATTCAATTCTAGAATTTCGGAGGATATAAATCTAAATAACATCCCTTTAGAGCCTGACAGGTGTGTCTAGACTGGGGACACGGTAGAATAATCAAATATCAAACAGCAGAGAAGATCTGTCTGGGGTGGTGACGGTGGCTCCATTGCTTGTTACATTACAGATTGGTTTTATGGGGATATGTGAGGGATTGTTAAAAGAGCTCTATCAATGCTACACCCTCAAGCAGGGCAACTGTAAAACTAAAACATCTGCTGAATGGTGAGCAAGCAAGCCATCCACTCTGTGGTGGAGGATGACGGGTTCAGTGAAAATTGCTTTGATTTGACCATTCCAGGAAATATACATATAAGGGAATATAGATTTACAGCCGTGAAATCAATTGTCTTCAATTTACAAACCATATCAGAAATTAGTTGTGCCATTTATTCCAGCATTGTGGTCTTAGCGTCACACATAATGATGCAAAAAACATCATGAAAATGTACGACAGGGATTGTTGACTGGGTTTTGCCCAAAAAAGCTTAGTTTTAGTTAAGGAATAAAAGTTTGCGAATGATTCAAAAGATGGGTAATTTATTCAATTTCATTTGTTTATGTATTGTTTACTGTTATTTTTTAAAGATAAATAACCATTTAAAAATGTTGATACTTTTGCATATTGCTGGTATTGGGACTCAATATAAACCTGTAGATGTACACCTATTGACAAACCATTGCAGCATATAAGTTTTTTTGTTTGTTTGTTTTTGTTTTGATGTTTCATTAGAAATAAAATATAGCTTGGATAAATTTGGTCTGTTTCATTTATTTAAAGTCCATTCATTTGAATGGGGTTAACTTATCAATTATAATAAAAGTATACATTATAATGGGATGCACTCAAAAACTTTGATGAATATACATGTTCACATATAATTTGATATTTTTTAAGAATGTCTTTTTTATTAACTAACGGGCATAAATTGAATAAAAGCATGGGAAAAAAACATGGCAACACTCAAAACTTTAATTATCTTTGAAAGGTCAAGATCATCATAACTGTGCCCACTGGCCTGGAAATATATGTGTAACATTGTTAATGTATAAAACTGGAGGAACTAATGTAACAATGCTTTTTAAATCTTTTTTGTCTTTGTTTTATTTTGTTTGTTTTTTCTTTTTTTGTCTTTATTGTTGTTGTTGCTTTTTGTATTTTCTCTGTGTTGCTTTAAGGTCAAAATAAAAATATCATATTTAAAAGACACTCAAAACTTTACATTTTCTTCAGTTTATTACAATATGGATATAGAATATTAATATAAAAATTACGATTTGGTCCAAATATATCAGAATATGAAAATTGTATAAAAGTATTGAAAGCATGAGTGGATAAACACCAGGGAGAAAGCTGACATCTCAACTAAATCAAGTCATGGTCAGTACAATTAAAAATGAATAGATTTTTTTTAAATCGCAAATTTAGAAAACATTCCAGTTCCATTTCTGTTGACTTGGTCTGCCCATTAGCATTTACTTCATTAAAAATTAATCACTGATTGAATGGTTGAATAGCATAACACAAAACAAGGTATAATTGTACAGTATTTGCAAAATGTGTCTTATAGAATTCTTAAATAGGCCCTTGTTTTCAACATTCAATTAATCCTTTATTTGTATAGCGCTTTTACAATGTAGATTGTGTCAAAGCAGCTTCACATAGAAAATCATAGTAAATTGAAACTGTGTAGTTCCGTTTTAAAACAGTGCAGTTCCGTGAAATGACATTCATGGTGAAATATACGGTGCCTGTTCTTTGTGTACATGTTGAGCCCACTGTGAGAGTGGGTGAACTAACTGTCTGGAGGGTAAATGTCTCTCGGAGGCTGATGCCAGATGGAGGTGGGCACTGTGGTACCAGCTGGTGCTGGCATCAGGTCTGAGGACACTCCTTTCTTTCATATGACTTCACAGCTTCACACATGACACATTTTTGCCTTTACATTACTCTTTAAAAGCTATATTTCACTAAACATATTGCATACTGAATGATGGTAGTGAAAAATATAATAGGACAACATAGTCCTTCTCCATTGTAACAACCAGGGAAATTCTATAAAAAAAGTATTTATAAAAAACTTGATGTTTCTTATTTAAATTAAAACACATTACAATCTTTATTAAATAAAGTTTAGAAAAAAGCACATGCAGGAGCTGTGTCATGTTAATCATGAATCCTTATCATGAATTAATAAAGTTTACTGGTTGAAATGATGTGTTATAGCTTTTGGGTGGAAATAGATCAAAGTGTGCCCCACATGTTAACCCACAGAATGCATTATAAATCTGTATAAAATTTTAACATTTCATGTCCATTTGGCCACAAAGAACTGAACTGAAGTACTGAATCAGTCGTACATTAATAACTAAAAATTAATAATTAATATTAATAACTTTCAACTAAAAGCATTTTATAACTGATCAGCAACTTTCTTAATATTAAATGATTCCTTCCAAATCCTTTGACATTTCAAATTACAAATAATCCACACCTTGTTGCAAAATCCATACGTTCAGAATTGCTGAGAAATTTTCTTTGAATGTGTATTTTAGATTATTCATATATAATTGGAGAATTGCAAATTTCAGCATGCTAATAGGACTTTTAATTTGCCAGTAACCTGGGTTAATCGTTTCCGGCAAACTGTATGCCATTGCAAAATCGGCGCTTTTAAGGTCTGTTTTCTTTAAAAATCATCTATCTCCACTGGCCGAGTGATATCCGATATAAAGTGGGTCTCAGATTATACAAGAAGCACTGCATTAAATTACATTTTCCCCGCCATGTCTTTATAATATGAGCATTTATTTTACCCCAGTATATTCAATGGAGCTTCTGCGCTAGCCTGCCAATTCTGACGGGCGCGTGCAAGCAAACGCTTTTTGTCTCGTTATACGCTTGAGCAACTAGATTGATGCCAAAGTCTGTTTAACAGATTGTATTTGAATTGCATTACAACATCGATGCTTTAAAAGGAACCATATGAAATGGAAAAAAAATCATGATAACAGGTCACCGGAAGTGTATCAGCATGGGTAACACATTAGCTCGGCATATACCCCTTTGAAATGAATTAACTCACGATTAATTAAAACAGCTGAAATTTAGCCCGCCATATAAAATTCCTGTTTTATATATCTGTAAAGTAATTGTTAAAAAACTGGATAAAATTAACAAGTATTTTGAAGGTCTTGAAGTGTGTATGACAGTCCTTTACTATAAACTATTTTTTAGAGACTTCTTCGGTGTCAAAACTGTGTTATGAGCAGTGGCGGATCTAGGAATTTTTTAAAAGGCAAGGGCCAAGGTGGGGCCACAGTTTACAATAAAGGGGGGGGTCAAGTTATTCAATTGGTGCTACAACCGTTTGAATTATTTGCTTTCACTATCGATTTCACCATGAAGCACACTTTTACCATTGACATAACAACTCAGAATGGTAATTTAAAATAACACATATTTGACAGCTATGAGTGGAATCCAAGGAAGTAAACCTAGTAATTCTGATCAACGAATGGGATGTTTAGTCTACTCGCAAGTCGCGACTATCAATTTTGATCCTTTTTAAAATATTTGTCTGAAAAGCAAACCATGCCAATCAACACTGTAACAATTTCAATCTCTATTTCAGAACAAATCAGTCGATCTACAGGGACAAAACCGCTTGACACAAGAAAAACAGCTGAAGTAACAGGTAACATCTGGCGTATGACATGAATTAAAGTGCATCTTTATGATTGAGCTTTGATATAAATCGGCACTCACTTAGAGGAGGGGCACTACAGGGGGCAACCTAAATTAATCCCAAGATCGGGCCCTGGTTATGAGGGTTATTTCTCATCAGTTAAAACCTGAATGACTGGAAACCCATGTTGCCTTTGAATTTGACAGTGGATGAGAGACTTAAAGTAAGAAACAATAAAAAAACATTCTGCAAAACAGCATCTCTCAGCTGAAAACAAAATATGTTTAAAAAAAGTGTCTTAAATTGTATTGATTTATTCATCATATCTTTTATTGATTTAATTATAATGTTATGTCTTTACAAATAATATTTTATTGATTTGATTATTATCATTTAATTTCTCTACAGATAAAAGTCAGTAATACTTTGCAAACAGAAAATGACAAACCGAATGAATGGTTTATAATCTCTAACAACTATAACTCTTTAAAACAAAACCACTACTGGAATCAACACACATTTGTACAACAGCCTTATTGACTGAAAACCTATATAAAGCCAGAGTCTTCGTGATAAATTAGACCAGCCCTTATCAGCTGGTGGTTTTTGAGTACACCGGGGTGGAGACTGATTTTAACAAACAAAGAGGCCTGGGGTCCTGTCAGGAACAGACATCACGTCATTCCTGCTCCTTCTTACTGCGCATCACTTCATTAAAACAGCATCATGGCGACATTCAAAAACACTTAATATTTAATGACTGAATAACATATCCCGGTTAAACAGTCGACTTTCCACATTAGACCAAAATCACGCATTCTTAAAAAGGTCAGGTGCGTTCATAAATGCGCCATATTCATGTCACAGGTCTGTCGGGGAAATGCTATAGGCAACTCACCGTACGCCGCGCCGATTTCGGTCATCTCAGCCATTTTGAGGGTTGGGCGCCCTGCGATGCGGATAACAGCCAAGGAGTAAACAATAAGCTAGATGTCGGTGGTACTTCGTTTAGCTGATATACTGTGGATGGTTCATGGCTACATCTCTCCGGTTGACGGTGTGCTCGTGTGTGGTGCGGTCCAGGCCGGTGTGATGCTGAGCAGATGGAATGAGATGCACTGCGTCAGATCGAGACCCTGACTGTAAGATACGCCCACCAGCCTCAGCATCCAAACACCGAGATGCACACACACAGAGAGCGCTCTGTCTCTTTCCAGCAACTTCAGATCCGCAGAGGTACATGGAGTTCCTTCCATTAAGTAATTAATTAATTCCAGGATAATGTGTTTTAGAATAAAAAGTACGACTGGCTTGATATATATTATTTTAGTCAGCCTTATCACACAATAATTGTTTTATTTAAAAACGTTAATTTCACGCATCATTAATTCAGTTTTAAGTTTAACACACTAGAAGAAAATTTCAAGCACTTCATCCAATTAAAAATGTATCTTTCATTTCAGTTTAATATAATTTCTTATATATTTTTAAGTAATATATTTTAACTTACATAGTTTAATATGTGTTTTTGTTTAAGAGCTCTAGGAAACTATGAAATATTTGTTTTGACCAGTGTACAATTTTAAGGTTACTCACACTGCATGCATATTAAACAGAAACTCAATATGCTTTGTTCTTTCATGGACTTGATATTTGAAGGCAAATTATTTATTTTTCATTGGCTCAAGTGATCAAATTTAGATGTGAACCATTTCTCTAATTTTTTAAAATTGGATGAACGAAAGGCTTTTTCCAGTGCAGGATCTCTCAGAAGTCATTCTTGATTTCCTGCCATTGTTGTGAGGAATAATAATTTAATCACTTAAGGATTAATCATTAAGGGTTGTTCTTGTTATCAATGTTGAGAATGATGGCATTTTTACTGCTTCTTTTAGTACTTTCAGTTTTCTTTGAAAAACACAAAGATTTTATAAACAATTAAATCTTTTGTAATATTATAGATATCTTTACTGTCCATTTTGGTCTGTTCAGTGTCCTCAATATTCTAAAAAGAGTGATTTAAAAGAAACAAAAACATTCATTCATTCATTTTCCTTTGGCTTAGTCCCTTTATTCATCAGGGGTCGCCACAGTGGAATAAACCACCAACTTATCCAGCATATGTTTTACACAGCTGTAACCCAGTACTGGGAAACACAAATACAGTCTCACATACACACACAAACACTACAGCCAATTTCATTCATTCTTTTTCTATTCGGCTTAGTCCCTTCATTAATCTGGGGTTCCCACAGCGCAATGAATCGCCAACTTATCCAGCAAGTTTTTACGCAGCGGATGCCCTTCCAGCCGCAACCCATCCTTGGGAAACATCCACGCAAACACTCATTCACACTCATACACTACGGACAATTTAGCCAACCCAATTGAACTGTACCGCATGTCTTTGGACTGTGGGGAAAACTAGAGCACCCGAAGGAAACCCACGCGAACGCAGGGAGAACATACAAACTCCACACAGTAACGACAACTGACCCAGCCAAGGCTTGAACCAGCGACCATCTTGCTGTGAGGTGACAGCACTACCTACTGCTACACTGTGTTGCCCACTACAGCCAATTTAGTTCATTTAATTCACCAGTACATGTCTTTGGATTGTGGGGGAGAGCACCTGGACGAAACCCATGACAACACAGGGAGAACATACAAACTCCACAAAAAAATGCCAACTGACCCAGCTGGGACTTGAACCAGAGACTTTTTGGTGTGAGGTGACAGTGCTAACCACTGAGCCACCATGCTGCCTGAAACAAAAACAACATGTTTGATTTTTAGCAGTTTTCAACATCGATAACATTCAGAAATGGTTTTGAGCAGCAAATCAGACGATAAGTCTAACTTCTGAAGGATCATGTGACAAAGACATGATTCTTTAAAAACATTATGTTTAAAATACTGTTTCCAAATTTTTGGAAGTATTAAAATAGAAAGCAGTTATTTTCAATGAAAAAAAAAGATCAATATACTTAAAATATATAATTTAGTTTTGCTTTAATGATGCATGCAATTAAAGGAATGCCTGCAATAAAAAACCTGATATGTCCACATGTGATATGCAAAGATCAATATGTTGGACATCTGAAAATACAGCATTTGCAGTACAAAAACAACATTAAATGAACTGAAAAAATATATATTAATGTTGTAAAATATTTGAAATCACAATAAAAAAGATTCAATATTTTATTCGTTTACCTGCATGTCAAATGACATTATAAATACTAAGTTCAAATCTCAGGGGAGACTATAAGAATATTTGGTAATCTAAAAAAAAAAAAAAAACAGTTTGGAATTCCTGACCATCTGTACCTGCTGATATTGTGAAACGTGCAATTAGGCTGCCTCATGTGGCCAGAGGAGTGCACTAACTGCAAAGAAAGATGATCAATATGATTGTTGTTAGAACATTATACCATGCACCATATATTTTATACAATACACAATATACATACACTTCTGTCAGATTAAATGTAGTCCTTTAAATAACCACTAGGTGACCTCACTCCTGTCTTAGCATGCATGGCTTATAAAGGCATCAGCAAGCATGGAAGTGACAGACTGTTTTGGCACATAGTTTAGCACTGTTTGTTTAATATCACTCACATATAGCCTAGCAGAAGAAAATCTCACTCTTAACAAAACTTTTTTCTCGGTATCACTGAATTAGAAAATGTTATGGCATTCCTAACAAGCAGATTGCGACTGCGGGTCTTTGATCTCACACAAGTCTTTGGTCTCAGTTCAAGATTTTTTAGTTCAAACATACTGGTCTGTGGAATACAGCACATTTCTGTTCTTGCTGTTAGCTGGTTTTAATGTATTTGTTCCTGACGGCCTGCTCTTAGCATTCAGATAAGCTGCATTGTTCATTCATTCATTCATTCATTCATTCATTCATTCATTCATTCATTCATTCATTCATTCATTCATTCATTTTCTTTTCAGCTTAGTCTCTTTATTAATCTGGGGCCACCACAGTGGAATGAACTGGCAACATAGATTTAAAATTACAGAACATAAAACAGATCTTTTTCAGACTTACTTTTCTCATAATATGACATAACTGAGGCCAAAACATATTGGAATCTGTGCAGTCGGACGAGAGCAAAACCTAAACATAAAATTACACTTCAGATATTTTTTACCCTCCAAAGATAAACAAATATCAGTGTGTTAAGATGAGATCTACCTAAAATGGTAAAAACTGTTGCTCAGGAAATGTACTTAAGGTTTAATTGGTAGTTTTGGCGAGTTTATGACCTGTTGGCCAACTGCTGCTCGCCATCAGGATAATCAAAATGTTTGCCTTTTTTTTTTTAATGAGTGTAGCCAATTTGTCATTTTTTTTATTGAATACAAAAATAATAACATCACTGCATTGCAGAAAAAATACAATAACAAAAAATAAGAAAGAAGAGAGAGAGAGAAAAATACACAGCCTCAATCATTAAGAAAAAAGATTGTCATAAGCTTTAAGAAACTTATTCTTCTTATTATTATTAATAAGCTTAAGAGATTCAATATTGTACGAAATTTCAACAAGGAAGGTATTAAAAATATGTATTGTTTTTAGAAACTTATTTTTGTGTATAAAAAATTTATAGCCAATTTGTCATTTGTTTGCTGCTGTGTTCGTTGATTATGAACAATGCTTTGATCTGATTGGTGTCCCTCCTCCATGGTGGTTGGACCGCTGACAAGCGGTGAAAGTGAGAAGCAGTGTGTTTCACCCAAAGTTGAATTTTGCAACTCCTAGCAATCAGAAAAATAAGAATGAAGCATTATGCTGTTCTCCTACAAAAAATACAAAAAAAAATTAATAAATAAATAAAAAATGCTTGTCTTGGAGAAAATGTCTTGGTTTTCCAATTTATGCCAGGATGCAAATTTTGGCTAAATACAATATTTTTTATAACCAGTAAGACATGTCTGATCAGCTAGCTCAGTGAGCTGAGCATTACGTTACCAACACTAAGGTTGTAGGTTCGCAAGCAGCATCATTAATGACTTTCTTGGGTGACATGATGGCTCAGTGGTTAGCACTGTCCCCTCACAGCAAGGAGTTGCTGGTTTGGGCCCCAGCTCGGTCAGTTGGCATTTCTGTATGGAGTTTGCATGTTCTCCCAGTCTATGCATGGGTTTCCTCCTTGATTGAACTGCGCCACTGTGCTGCCTACAGAGCATTTCAAGAGAATTTAAAACATTTGGGCTCAAAAATTATAATGTTTGGAGGTGTAACAAAGATTATTTGTATTTAATTATTTATACGAAAAAAAAAAGAAATGCTTATCTTACTTTGAATTTGTCTCGTTTCTAGTCCAAACATCCACATTTCACAGCAAATACAAGATTATTTTACTTCTCCCATAGACAGATAAATGTGCTTGTTTTAAGGAAAAACTCTCAACTTTAACTTAAGGTGAAAACAAAACAATGTTTTTACTTGATTTAAGAATATTTCAACTAGTAATTAAATAAAGCAAAGTAAGAAAAGCATTTTTGCATTGCAATGTTCTGTACCTGAATCTAGAAAGACTCCCAGAAAAATGCCAATTTGAGCTATACAAAAGATCTTGCAAAACTGTATTCATATTGCAACATTTATTGAAGAAAAATAAAATAGGGTGTCGGTGGCGCAATGGATAGCACGATTGCCTCACAGCAAGAAGGTCACTGGTTTGAGCCTTGGCTGGGTAAGTTGTCATTTCTGTGTGAAGGTTACATGTTCTCCCTGTGTTCGTGTGGGATTCCTCCCGGTGCTCCGGTTTCCCCCCACAAGTCCAAAGATGTGCTGTAGGTGAATTGGATAAGCTCAATTGTTCGTAGTGTCGTAGTGTATGTGTGTGAATGAGTGTGTATGGATGTTTCCCAGTGATGGTTTGCAGCTGGAAGGGCATCGGCTGCATAAAACATATACTGGATAAGTTGGCGGTTCATTCTGCTGTGGTGGCCCCAGATTAATAAAGGGACCAAAAGAAACTGAATGAATGAAAAATAAAATATTTAAATATCAGAGCTTTAAGCTACCATCATCCTGTGGGGATTGTAGAATTGTCTGTGGGTCTACAAGTAAAAACAAGCTATAAAGAGCTGC